AATCTGCTTTTGGTGCAGCAGTTAAGGTATGGAGTTTCTGAAGATTCATATGATTTACCTGCATATCTAGTTGGTAGTACAAGTCAAAATTGGACAGTTCCATTATTTTTGAAACATGCTGAGGATAATATGTACTAGTCTCTGCATGTGTTTGACTTTCGCGTCTAAGAAATTCTTCTCTCCTAGGCTGCTTTCTTGGCGATGAAGAGCAAAGGAGGGAAACTTATGGTGTTTCAATCAGGTATGCTGCTTACTCTATTTAGGTACTTAGTATATTGATGCTTGTGCTCCAATCATTATTTATGCACTTTGAAAATCATATATTTGTTAGAAGCACCAACTCTCGCTTCTTATAGAAAATCTTACTGTTCGGTAGCTCTATAATTTTAACTGATATGTTTACCATCTTCCTCGCAGTTTTGTGTTCTGTTGGTGTTGGAGCACTTTCTTCTAGAGAGGCCGAAGGGAGAGCTAATATGTCTGCTGGTGAAAAGGTAAAACATGCTCTCTTTTTTTTCAGATGTCGGTGTTTCATTGCAAAATATTGAAGTGTACGTCCTGTAATTTGGATTTCAGGAGGCTCATAAGTTACTACAACCAGCAGACAAAACTCTAAGGACCATGGCGATTGAATTTGCTGAATACCAGGTATGCCAATACCCAATAGGATAGATGTTTAGCTCGAAATGTTTCCATCTGCTTATCCATCATGTATCATTCATTGTCTCTTAATTACAATATTTGGTCCCTATCTAAGCCATCCAGAAATGCCTCAGGTCTGTGTTGATATATTTATCACAAGTCAGGCTTATGTTGACATGGCTTCAATATCCGTCATTCCAAGAACTACTGGAGGACAGGTATATTTCAAATTTCTTATTCTTAAACTCTGTTTTCTGATTCCATGGTAAATGACCTGCATTTATTTCTTCCTAATTTTAGTTGTAGCACAGTTCAATAGCAATTCTTGTTACCAGAGTATTTCTTGTATCTATCATTCGAGTGCATTTTTCCTATGGAAGCCCATGTCCTATATGTTTCCGTCGCAATTTTTGTAATCCTAACTGAAAATAGTCTGCGAAAGCCTTGCCTAGTTGATGCATCTCTCATGGCGATCCATAAATTTTCATGGATGTTGGCGCCTTGTTCACTGACTTTATATTTTTCATTGTAAACGATTTCCTTCAGGTGTATTATTATTACCCGTTCTCAGCTCTCTCAGATCCCCCCAAGCTTTACAACGATCTTAAGTGGAATATAACTAGGCCGCAGGGTTTTGAGGCTGTCATGCGAGTCAGATGCAGCCAGGTATATTTTTGTGGCAGAGAGTTCTCTTCATGCATTACTCTATATACTCCAAATCAAGGCTCTGTAAATCACCGTTTCCAATAATTTTAGGGTATTCAAGTGCAAGAATACTCAGGGAATTTCTGCAAACGCATTCCAACCGACATCGATCTTCCAGCGGTGGGTGGACCCTCCTTAATTTTTTCTAACTAGTTTCTGGATAGCATTGTGTGCATCTGCTGATTTCGTGTCAATATTGTTTATGAAAAACAATTTTTTTTTGTAAGTGGTCCTTTTGAGTCTGGAATTATGGATACTTAAGATTCTTCTGCTATGCTGTTTAAGTTGAGAAAATGTTCGTCAATTAGGAAAACACGTGATTCTTTTGCTGCAAGTTTACCAGGAAATGCACTGTGGTAGAACTCCTTGTACTCTTTTGAGTCTTGACATACCTTGATTGCCAATGCAGATTGACTGTGACAAAGCTGTAATGGTGACGTTAAAGCATGATGACAAACTACAAGATGGAGCTGAATGTGCTTTCCAGGTATATTTTGTATTCACGTACTTTTTTTAAGATGTTGGTACTCTGTCTCATTAAGATGATTTGTTCTATTTTCGTCATGTGTTGTTTACAGTGCGCCCTCCTCTATACCACCATATATGGAGAACGAAGAATTAGGGTTACCACATTATCACTCCCCTGTACTAACATGCTCAGTAATCTGTTTCGCGCAGCTGACTTAGAGTCTCAATTTGCTTGTATGCTGAAACAAGGTAGGTCACTGTTTTCGGTGCTGATTCTACTGCTAACCTTGTCACTATGTACCAATAGCTGTGTTTGTTTTCTTTTTATGCAGCGGCTAATGAAATCCCTTCAAAAGCACTTCCATTAGTAAAGGAGCAAGCAACTAATGGTTGCACAAATGCACTCTATGCCTATCGTAAATTTTGTGCTACAGTTACATCATCTGGACAACTTATTCTTCCTGAGGCGCTCAAGCTTTTGCCATTATATACTCTCGGTATTTCCTTGTGACTTTTGTCTACGTTGAGCTAATTTTACACAACTTCAGGTCCTCTTGTGTGCTTTTCCCTTCCCTTGTCTTGAATTAGAAGTGACTATGTATTGTGTTTTTATGTGCTTACTTTTTAAGTGCTGCTTATTGACTGTTGTTTTCTTTTCTGTTTGGCCTCCATGAAGACATTATAATCTATTTGGTACCTCCCATATTGGAGCAGCTAGTTAGATACCTTAATTCTTTCAGATGTTTGGAAATCTGTTTTCTGTGAATATCAAGTCGTACTCTCTTTCTGTTTAATGTTTATATGTGCTTCTAAGACAGGACAGGAGTAGTAGATAATAAATTGTGTTTTGATGTTATTTCCTGGGTTTTTTTTTCAGCATTGACCAAAAGTGTGGGTTTAAGGATGGATGGGAGAATTGATGGTCGATCATTCTGGATCAACTATGTATCTTCCCTTTCTACTCCTTCGGCAGTCCCACTGGTTTATCCCCGGATGATTTCTATTCACGACCTTGGTGCAAAGGTATAATGGGGCTACTTTTTAGTTAATAGATCTTTCTCAAGCCTTAATTTGTAGTTTGTGAAACTTTTGATTATTCTTGCTTTTCAATCTATTAGGACAATGAAGGATCGGTTCTTCCTCCTCCAATTCCATTGTCAAGTGAACACCTTAGCAATGAGGGAGTCTATTTTCTTGAGAATGGTGAAGATGGTCTATTATATATTGGCGAATCAGTGGACTCCGATATTCTGCAGAAACTTTTTGATGTTACTTCAGCTGCTGAAATTCCTAGCCAGGTAATCTCAACTTCTCTCTTCATTACCACATGAAGTTGTAGGATAGTTAACTTGCAACGAAATCTAGATTTTATACTATTTTAGCATACGACTGTTGTGATCGTTTTCATCATGCATGTTTACTTATCACATTATCGAAACCATGAAAGAGGAAATCTCTTTTCTGGTATTTTTGAACCTTGCTAAGCAAAGGTAACATGTGTTTTCTTTACAGTATGTGCTGCAGCAATACGATAATCAGCTATCAAAGAAGTTCAATGATGTGGTGAATGAAATAAGGAGGCAAAGATGTTCTTACCTAAGGTATCAAGCAAAAGTCTCATTAACTGTCGTCTTTTTCGCTCAACTGGGCAGTAGATAATCGTTTCCAGCCTAATCCTTCCAACATATGTTTTTTCTACGCAGCATAAAATTGTGCAAGAAGGGTGATCCATCAGGTGGGTAATTCTGGACGGATTTCGTTAGCATTAACTGGTTTGATATAAATTCAGCTGTTCCTTGCACCTACAAAGGCTACATGTTATTTATCTTTTCCTTTTTGTGATCAGTCTTACAAGCTAATAGTAATGCATAGTGCTCCTGTCTGCGGCTAATACCAATGTCTATTTTCATAGTCATCTACTTAACCACCTGGCACATTCCGAATTTTGAGTTATCTAATTTCTCTTTGGCAAATGACTTGTTCATGGATAAGGAAAACATTTACATACGAATTATGCTAATTAGGAGTTGCCTAGCATAAATATATTTAGATTGTATGAACATGGAATGTTGTTAACTCGGTACTGTTGATTTCATAAAACCCTTGTACATGATGATTTAATCTTCTGGCACTTTGCAGGAATGATGTTTCTGTCGTATATGGTAGAGGACAGAACAGCAAGTGGCCCATCGTATGTGGAGTTTCTTGTTCAAGTCCATCGCCAAATCCAGCTCAAAATGAACTGATCCTCTAGGGCTCCTTACAAAAGTCTCTCTTACTGTCCTCTGCCTCATGTTCAGAATTTACAATAGAGGAGGATAGGAGAAAAGGAAAGAGCATTGTTCATGGCTGCTTGAGAAGATTTCTTCTTAACTGAAAGGAAAGAAAGGGCATGGACTACTACGATATCAAAAGTTTCATTTCATCTTGAAGGTGTAACTAGATAATAGTCTCCACTTTTTTTTTTTATAAAGAGAATTACACAAGAGTCTGTCTTAAATCCATTTTGTATGGTTACTTTTTTTTGTGTGTTATTTAAGCTCCAAATTTCACTATATATCTTTTCAGATATAGCTTTTTGTTACTAGATGTTGTGGAAGGGACAAATTAAACTCGAATATAAGTTCCAAACCATCACAATGTAGTAAAAAATATGAAATAATTGTTTTTTCTCTATTATTGTTGTTTTCTTCATTATTGTTGTTTTCTTCATTATTGTTGTTTTCTTCATTATTGTTGTTTCTATAAAGGATTATGATTTCAGGGATTTTTAGGGTTTTTATTTCATAAATAATTTTTTACGCTTTATTAGGTTTTAGCCTTTTAGGGAGAAGTGTTTTGATAAATAATTATTTTATTGAAAAGAAGATTATGAAAAACAAACTTCAATTTGAATGAGAAGAAATGAAAAAGGATATGGACCAAAGGCAAGGAGAGTAAATGTTCTTTTGTATATAGCGATTTCTCTGAACTATAGTAATATACATGCTCATAGTCTCCTAGGAACTTTGTTGCATGCAAATTTCAAGAAACAAAGTTCTTCTCTGAATTTCAAGAAATAAAGTTAATTTTCACCTTGTAACCTTATATTTCATATCTGAATTTGCTTTTTTTTTTTTCCATAAGCACGTTTAACTTGACAATTGTTTCTCTATATCATTTTTGTATGTGGGAAGCGAGAATTGTTAGAAAATATATAAATGATCGTTTTCTCGAAGAGCTTCAAGCTGTTCAACATGTGCACCATCTGCCATCGCAATCGTGCTTCCTCGTTTCCCCAACTTCTTCTCTGCATGCATCCACCAAAGTTTTAAAAATTTAATCATCACAACCCAACTTTATTCAAACTAAAGCTAAACTGAAACCAAGTTGTAATATGTTTTATATATCTAGAGATTTCAGGTCAAATAAATATATTAAAAAAAACTCAATTTATCATCAAATAAATTCAAAATAACAGATATTGCCACAAAGTGTATATATATATATATATATAACTATAACGCAAAAATTATTTTTTTTTAATAACTATGAATACTATCTATCCTTTAATTAGATTGAAACCTAATTATATAAAGGTAAGTAACATAATTAGTGAAGAGTGAAACTAACCAGCTAAGTCGAACAGAAGTTGGATAGAATCAGGCAAAATGATAAGTCGACCGTTGGAATCATCATTGTTGTTGTTATCATGATTAGGAGGATGTCCATGAATTATCACTCTCGTGGGAACTCCCTCTCTTTTTTTCTCTTCTTCTGCAGTCAAAATTCATTTTTTTTCTTCGTTTAAAAAAGATTAAAAGAAAAAAAAAACTGTATTTCCAAACTCTACAGAATTGTCTTCTTACTCATTTCATTTTCATCTCTTGAGACCGTAACTATCTCATCATTGTTACTCGATGGTGTCTCCTCAGTCTGAATTGTTTCCTGTCAGGAAATAATACAGTTTTCATTTCAAACCCGATTGATTATTTGAACGTGAGGACTATGCATTTGTGAAAGAAATAAAAATGGTCCTTAAACCGATAATCCAAGTTTCTATATATTTGTGTAAAACGTACCTGAGGCTGAGCATCTGCGTCAGCTAATAAATCTCTAAGAAAAGGGATTTCTTTTTTCAAATCATCATTCAATCCCCTGAGATACTGAAAATGAAAAAAAACAGTATCAAGTGTTAAAAGATAAGCTTTAATTTCTTGTTAATGTGTAGTTAAGTATTGTGAAAATATAATGAATTTACAGTCATGAAATTGGTCATGATGATTTTGGCGTCGTCGATGTCAGACTGAACCATTTCCTTGAACTGATGATGACCGATTCGAATAACTTGTGAAAGTTTCCTTGTCCTCACAGTGAATGGCTGAGGAATGTTGAACACTACTCCAATCTCTCCCGCCATATCTCCCGGACCTAACTTTGTTAATACCTTCATCATCATAAGTAAATAAATAATTTTCTTCATGCATGAATCTAAATGTGTTTATAATTTTGACTAAAACGGTTTAGACTATAGAGTTTTTACCTGTTCACTCACTCCCTTGGATGCAATTATCTCCTGTGATATTTCAAATATTATTTTAATCAATTCAAGTCAAATATATATTGAGTATGTAGAGGACAAAGATCATACCACTCCTCCTGACACAAGTATGTAGAAATCCGTTGGAATCTCATTTTGCAATATTATCTCCATTTTCGGCGGAAAATACTCTGCTTTTATTTGCGAAACCTACAACAACAAAAAACAACAGTTAATAATGTCATATATATATATATATATATATATATATAAAACAAGGAACTGTTTATATATGGATCAAGACCAGCTGGACGATGAGGCCATTGGGGAATCCTTTGAAGAGATAAGCATTCTCTAATACAGAGCGGAATAGATGTTCGTTAATGCTTGATCTTATGGCCTTTGGTAAGTCTTGAATAACCTCTTCTTGCTTTAGCTCGGCTGTTTTGAACTTAAGTTGCATATGCGCAAGCATTTGCTCTCTCATCATATCTGGTAACCCATTCTTGCTCGTGTAACGCAATATATCATTGATGGCACTCCTCTGTCCAATGACAATAAGTATATATATGCTTTAAGTTTCATGGGGGGTTTTCATCTAAAAAAAAAAAAAGAAAAAGAAATGCATGATAAAATAGATTTACCATGGCGAATGTACGAAGAGCGCCATGGACAACAAGATTGGTCATGTTACCGATGATATAAGCAGTAAGGCCGATGTTGAAAAGCATGTAGAACATGTTGAATGTCTGCTCACGGGTATTAACGGCGTGAAAATCCCCATAGCCCACGGTGGTGAGTGTGACAATGGACCAGTACATTGAGTAAGTGTAGCCTAACCATACACTTCTCTCCTTGAAATCCTCAACTTGTGATCCTATCCATGTTTCTATAGGTGTTGGGTAATGGTAGGCTATCCAGAATAAAATGCAACCCCCTATGTGTGTCCAAAATATCAATACCTGAACCATATTTCACATTCAAGATGATCGATCCATTAAACCAAGTACGTTCAGTTGTTTAGCTATATATATTCATTGAGTTATATAGAGACTACAAATCAAATTACTTATCTTTAAGGGAAAAAAAAAAACTAAAATCGAGGAACTTACACAAATAAGTTTGAAGACTCTGATCAGGAAGTAGTTGAAATTTGTGTCTTTCTCTAGTCTGTAACAAGAAAAGAGATGCATATAAATAAAATACATATAAACTTTGGAATATGAGGAGGTCTCTCAATTAGTCTAACTAGTGTCTAACAACAACATATCTGATATAAACATTGTTTTGATGAATGTATATAAAAAGAAAGTATTTACAAAAAAAAAAAGAAAAAAGAAAGAAAGTATATATATATATATATATTTAGTAGAAACCTTTTGAAGAGTTCTGCAACACGACGGAGACGCCAGAGGCGAAGCAAATTAAGGAAGCCGAAAACTTGGCCTCGTCCGACGTTTCCGGTAATCAATTTATAAATAAATTGAATCGGTAACGTTGATGCTACGTCCATCACAAACGTCACGTTCTTCAAGTACCTAAGTTTTTATTTGTTTCTTATTAAATTAGATAATATACATATTTATACATATATATATATATATATATATATATTATAAACCCTCAAAATACTCACTAGCACTTTAAAAATGGTGTTTATAAATTTATGATTATTAAATCATTGGGGCAAAATTTTACCGTTTGGCGATGAGCTTGTGGTCGTCGATGATGAGGTAAGTAGATGTATCCAAGTAGGCGACGAAAAAAGTGAGGATGATATCAACGGCGAAAAAAAAGTCAACGACGAGATCAACGGTCAATAAAGCTCCTTCTGCGGCTTTCTCGAAAGCCAGTTCGAAGAGAGATGCCCACGCCGAATATCCCACCAAAATCACCAAAAACAATTGCCACAACCTGTGATCCAGCTTTTTTAACTATTAATTAACTACCTGTTTTTTGATTATTTATTGTATATCATTTCATTTCAATCGGTCATTGTTTCATTTATTTGATTCAAATCATTATATTTTCAATTTTTTATACGTCCATCCATGTATAATTGGTTTATATTTTCAATCGGTCATACATATAATTGATTTGTCTTTTACATGATAAATATATAATATAAATAATAACTCAATTGAATTTAAAACATGCATGATCAATTTATTTATAACTGCTATATTTATATGAAGTTGGAAAAAATATACATATTTAAGTAGACATCCATAGTGAAATTATTTTCAAAGCAGACAATAATATGTCCCAGATAAATAGAAAGATAGTAGAATATCAAACATCTTTAAAAAAAATCAATTTGATAGAGTTTATACAAGTTATATAATAAAAAAACAAAAAAAAAAACTATAATGATGTAGATCACATAACGTTTTGTTTACATTCGTTAATGCGGACAGTCAAAAACGTCGGAACATGATTAGTTGAACATGCTGTACAATGAATATAGTAAAACATCACAGCTTCAAACGTAAAAAAGTTTTGAAAATTTACGTATAATTATCATCCATTATCTATAGTACTGCGAGGTATATTACAATATAGATACAATCAGGTACTCAATATAGAAACCATTTATGGACTCAACATAAGTTTAAATTTTCTTAACGAACGTGAGTACTAAAACAGAGTTATGAAATCTGTAAAGAAAACAACAATCATTTTCTGTGTGTTTTTTTTTTTTGAGAAATAAAATAAATATCAAATCATGTATTCATTGATAGTGAAAATATAGTAAAAATTCGAACCTGTAACGACGATCATAAGGAAGGACGATGTAAGATTTGGAAGAAGCATTATCGTCTTCGATGACAGTCCCAAAGGCAGGCAATAGACTGCTGGAAACAGAGGTTATGTTCCCGACGTCTTTGCTCGACCTTCTCCTGAACAGTAAAGATAACGGCGATCTCTCTCCCGACGTCCCTGTTGCCGTCGAAGACCTTCCTCTTCTTAACAACAACGGTAACGGCGATCTCGCCTCTGATGTCGTTGTCGACATTCTTCTCTCCTTCTTTTTCTTCTCTCTCTTTCACTAGTTTTGATTGCCTCTCTCTCTTTGATTTATGTTATATATTGTTTGTTTGTTTTTCATTTTAAATTATCAGAAGGTGGTGGGCGAGTTGTGTTGACTTTGTTTTATAATTTTGTTTTCCTAATAATGTTTGGAATAATACTTTTTTTTTTTTAATTCAGTTACTACTTAGTTTAAGGCTAAGAAACACTATAACATGACCATCTAATAAATCCAAGTTCCCAAAGTTGACTGATCGCTGCTATATAATTGCAGTTTAGAAGCTCTCAGATATTTTCAAGGGTCTTGTAATTTTCTTGTTCATAATTAGTTTACAAATGTAGTTTTCTCTTCCATTATTTTAGGAGAGAGATACTAAGAGTATGTCCAGTGGGAGCTTGGAAAAGGAGTTCGGCTCGAATTCGGCTCGAGTTCATAGGCAGTTTTAATTAAAAAAAAGAAATAATAATTTTTATGAGAAGGATCTGTTCATCAGGACAACCTTGATGAACTTCTGATGAACCCAGATTCGTCCAGGTGACAAGATATTATTGGGCGAATGTTTTTTTTTAATTTTTGAATTAAAAAAAAATAATAATAATATCTGATGAACCCCTTTAAGAGAAGTTCACCAATGGACATGCTCTAATATCGTAATTATTATTAGTCTAATCATTGGTTAGTTTCTTTGGTTTCATAATTATATATATCCACTTTAATTACCCTTTGTTTTGCAGAAGGATTCATCGGCTTTTGACCTCTATTCACGTCTCTGTGTGTATTTAATGTGGCATACGGTTGTAATGAGATAATCGAGATCTCATCTAGACATCTACAACACATCTAGACAAAAAAGGTTTCTTTATTCGAAATAAAAATATTATTTAATAATTAGTATTATAACAATTGGAGTTGAAATATTGGGATTCTCAAAAGCCAAATCTTTTTTTTGTTTTTATTAAATATATCCTTTATCAAATTGATGACACCTGACAAGTATAGTAGTAATGTTGAAAACAATACGAACAATAGTAAACACTTTGATAAAACAAGATATAATATACTAGTCTATTTTTAATACATAATAATGTGAAAAAAAATCAATGGAATTTTTGAAGTGTTTCTTTTTCTTCGTTTTCTAATAACTTTTTTGATGTGTTGGATGCCCATGTTTATACATGTGGTTGTCGATAATGTTTTCACATTTAATAAACGTAAGATATTTTTAGCCGTTCGTTTTAGCTTATCTTTCACAGCAACAATTTGGTTCAATCCACTTTTTGAACTTCATTCGATCTCGTCTTGGATCTTACAAATCCAGACTCTTCCAAATGATCGATTTCATATGATGCATCACTTACAAAGCTGCATGTTTCTTCCAATACATATGTCATTTGGAGAAAGCATAATGCAAGAATTTTAATTAACTTTGATCTCTTATATAACTATCTCTATCAAAATAAACATTTTTTTAATCAAAATAAACATTGGTTGTAGCATGCATGCATAATCGTTTTATCTTTTTTCCGTCGAAAGATTTTACTGTCTCTAATGCATCACTTTGATATAAAATCTAACATTAAAACAAAACAATATTGTTTTAGGTGCATCATGTCGTGGTACTAGCTAAACTGTCGAATTTGACATGGAAATCTACGCACTACAAATGAAGAAAGGTGTATCCTCTTACGCAACTGAACTATATCTCTTATCGACCTGTAAAATTATCGAGAATCATGTTAATGCTCGAATGATATTTGTTTTTTTCTTCTTTTCTTTTCATTAGTCCATGGTAGATTGGTGGTAAGGAAAAAGAGATAATGGACTTTTGGGGCGTGATAATAAGATTTCATAAAAAATGGGCTTAATAATCTCAAATCTCAAATGACCGGACCGACCGGGTTACTGAACCAGCGGGCGTGGGCATATACCGGGTCATCTTGTTGAAATCGCGATTCGACCCCGTAGAGTTCTAGCCGGTAAACTGGGAACCCTAGTCCTCTGTTTTCACCATTTTGGAGAAACCACCCTTTCTTCTTCTTCTTCTTCTTCGCCGCCTTGTGCTCATCCACTTTTATGAATCATCTTATAGAGTTTTCCTCTCTCTATTCAAAGAGTTTCTGGTATTTTCCCCTTTAGTTGCAGATTGGCATCAGAATTCGTCCTGGATTTATTGGCGATCGATTTTCCCCGTCGGTTATGATAGTGAACGAATTCGAGAAGATGGATAAGGAACGAGTCAGAAAACGGCCTCGCATGACCTGGGACGACTCACCAGCTGAACCAGATGTTCGTCTTCTTCCTCTTTTGCTAATTAACTCTTTGGCAGCTAGAAATTAGGATTCTTTTGAAATTTTGTTGATAATTCGAATGTGAATAGAAGACCAAACATTTCGATTTTGCTACGCTGACATTATTTTTTCCCGGTCTGTGTATAGGCTAAGAGGACTTTGCATAAAGGACATGGAAGCGATGGGAGGGTTTTATCACCACCATTGAGGGAAGATGATCGCGACGGTCACTATGTTTTCAGTTTGAGGGAGAATCTTACTCCTAGATGTGAGTTCATGTTCATGAATTTTCTTTTTTTCGTCTTTTTCATGAGTTTTGTGATGGATAACCTTACTGATTTTGCATCTAAAGTTGCTCACCATTTATCTCCACAACATGGTCTTATATGTGTATTGTTGCTAGTACTCCTTATTCTCAGTATTGCCTCTTGGATAGTTCCATTGACATAACATCCTTTAACTGTTTAACTTACTCCTGTAATTGTATCTGTGCGTTAATCTCGTGTGTTCTGTTTTGATAGATAAAATACTAAGCAAGATGGGTGAAGGTTAGCTGTCAAGTGGCATGGTGTGTTCGAGATAAAACTGTTTATGTGAATCAAAATCGTGCCATTTCAGTGAAATTGCTGGTGTTGTAGGCACATTTGGTCGGGTTTTGGAATGTTGGGATCGTCAAACAAAAGAATATGTGGCAGTAAAGATAATCAGAAGCATTAAGAAATACCGGGATGCAGCAATGATTGAAATTGATGTTCTTCAAAAACTTGTGAAGAGTGATCAAGGCCGCAGACGGTATTTATTTCTTTTCTAGATTTTAGCTGATGGCAAGAGTGACATAGTTTCGGTATATCATTGCTCAGTTTCTTCATCTCTGTTTTGTTCTTGCAGCTGTGTACAGATAAAAGACTGGTTTGATTACCGGAATCATATTTGCATTGTAAGTATTCCTATTATGTTTTGTTGATTTCTACCACCATTGAAATGCATCTCTAGTATTTGATTGATTCTATGTTCAGTGACCTGTGAGGTTTGATATTGTTAAAAGTGAATGACTGATAGTCTCTCTGGCCTAGTATTGTTTGATGCTCGAGTAACAGTAATCAAATTCCATGTATAGTGTTTGTGTAGTGAATCCATGTGGATTTTGTCGATGAAGTGTGGAACTAAACAAAACATTCGGTTGAATGAATTATAATGGTGTTACCAGGTGTTCGAGAAGCTTGGGCCAAGTTTGTTTGACTTTCTAAAGAGAAATAAATACTCTGCATTTCCCCTGGCCCTTGTTCGGGATTTTGGATGCCAGCTTTTGGAATCTGTAGCATGTCTGTGAAATGTTCCTTTGGCCATTATTTTATACAACTATCTTATCTAGCATGTTATACTCCTACCTAATGCGTCTCTCTTCTTAACATCTTTTTTTTTTTTTTTTTTAAATATACAGATATGCACGAGTTACACTTAGTTCACACTGACCTCAAGCCTGAGAACATTCTTTTGGTGTCTTCTGAAAATGTTAAGCTTCCTGACAATAAGGTAAATAGAACTGAATTAAGTTAAGTTTGGGTATAGCCTCTCTAGTAATTATAAGCTAGTATATTAAAAAAACAAACTTTCATTCAAGAGTTTGCAATTTTGACAGTTTGGTGTTTGACTTTAATGAACAGAGGAGTGCTTCAAATGAGACACATTTCAGGTGCTTACCAAAGTCAAGCGCCATTAAACTTATTGATTTTGGCAGTACTGTTTGTGATAACCGGATTCATCACTCTATTGTCCAAACAAGGCATTATAGGTCTCCTGAGGTCATTTTAGGTGGGTAAATCGGTTATGTGCTCATCGATACATGCTTGCCGACTCCATAGCTGACACTTACCAAAATGAACATAATTTTTATTCCTTGTAACTAACCAATGGCACATCATTGCAGGCCTGGGATGGAGTTACCAGTGTGACTTATGGAGTGTAGGTTGTATACTATTCGAACTATGCACGGTAAAGTCTCTCACATCTTGTCGTATTAACCCTTATCTCTGTGTTCACCTGAGTTGCTTACTATTATTCTCAACACTTTAAATCTGTACACCAGGGCGAGGCTCTCTTTCAGACGCATGATAACCTTGAACATCTGGCTATGATGGAGAGGGTATTGGGACCTCTGCCTGAACATATGACCCGGCAAGCCAGGTTACATTTTTATTACCGTAGACTTTTGGGTACGTTAAACTCCAGAGAGATATAAATGCTCATCGCTTGTTGCATGTATGGTTATTATGTTTTTTGCAGCCGGGGTGCTGAGAAATATTTCAGGAGAGGGTGTAGGCTGAATTGGCCTGAAGGAGCCAACTCTAGAGAGAGTATTAGAGCTGTCAAAAGACTTGACCGTCTCAAGGTTATTGCGCCATTAATATTTCGTAGCGTCTATTGATATACACTTCGCTTGATATGTCGTAATCTGAAGTAGGAACTGGCTCACGATTCTTGCAGGATATGGTATCAAAACATGTAGACAACACAAGATCTGGATTTGCAGATCTGCTGTATGGTTTACTGAAATACAACCCGTCCGAGCGTCTCACAGCAAACGAAGCTCTTGACCATCCTTTCTTTAAGAGCTCAAGTTGAAAAGAAGCAAAAATAGATGAGGCACGTGTGCCTAAATAGCAATGAGCACCATAAAATGTAGAATTCTACTTGGTATCAAGTTTTGATTAGATTCTAAAGATCCCTGTCTCATTAGCACCATCAAGAGTATTCCAAATTCAGTTTCAGGTTTGGCTACATTTATTCTGGAGAATAACCTCTGTTGTAATTACATTGTGTTGTTGAGAGTAGAAAAAAGTTATACCACATTTTGAAGCTAACCGACCTTACAAATTGCATATCACAATCAATTTACACAAGTACAACATCCATTATATCCAATATGCGTTCACTGTCACAATCCTGAGTTATCCTATCCCTGATTCAAATCTTCCGTTAAATAAGTCTCTCTCACCAGTTACTTGGTTGATAAGTGTTTTGTTTGTTTTCCTCTACTCAAAATATCTTTCCATTTTGTTGTAGGTTGATTTACAGACTTTCCACTTAACTAAGGGAGGGTTATTGGGAGTTAGATTTATGAAGATTTTAGTTGATTTTAAAAATCATGAGATTTGTCAAATTTTTAAGAGTTTTGTTGGATTTATAAAATTTAGAGAGAGTTCTATGGATTTAAACAATCTATTAAATTTTTTTAATATGACAGATTTTGAGAATCCAAGGGATATATGTAGTATTTTGAGAATCATGATTTATGAATTAAATTATAAAGAATCATTATGCCAATAACACTAGATTATAACAGAATCATGAAATCATTAAAATGCAGACTTTTTGAATAACAATAGATTTTGACTAGATTATAAAAATCATCATATCAATAACAATTGATTTTTATAATCTCTAAATGAATAACAGAGGAACCTATTCTTAATATAAAAATTCACAAACCTAGACTCTTAAACTCTAAAAATCTTTATAAATCAACTCTCCAATAATACCCCCTAAATAACACCCCCCTAAATAGTAAGGATTTCCCCAAATTTTCACCAAAAAAACAAAAAAATAAGACTTTTTAACGAGCGTCAGAGCGTCCATAGTCGGAGAAAAAACGAATACAAAAAATGATCTTGTCGTGCAAGTGAAGCACCTGGTAACGAAACAACGAAGAAAAGGAGAAATATCTGAAACATATAACTATTTTTGGAAATGCGTATAATTTTACGAACTCAAACCAGAAGCGATCATACAAATCTACTTGGGGACAACAGAGAAGATATGACCTAGGCAAAGATGGTTTGAGTGAACAAGAGGCCACAGATGAGAATCACAGCGTATAAACTAAAATCCATAGAAACAGCGTCCATTATCTTCTTCATCATCATGACTGTCTCTAACGCGTTGCCCACTTGGTCGGCTATGCCCTGTCCGTTCATTACTGTTCCCGAGTTTTCTCGTCTTGAGGCTGAGGAAGAATCTCCATGATGGCTCAGCAGAACCACTCCAAGCACAATTGTGGCATTGGTCAAGAGAAGCAAGAAAACAGGCCTCAAGCTTACTATGTTGCCTAGGAAAGAGATCCCGAGATGAGATAGTATGACAAGAAGTGCAATCACAAGAGCTGAGAACATCCGTGTGTATTCTGAAGCATCAATGGCGGCTCCAATGTGATTTGGAGTGATGGCGTTCACATAACTAACCAGAGGAGTAAATGCTTGAGAAGCACCCAGATCCACCACTGATGGGGTTTGAGCACCTGATGCTGCTAGAGACGGTGGTTGTGGTGTTGTATCTCTAGGATCTGAAGCAGAGGCTTCTGCCAGTGTTTCAGTATACCTCCGAGCCTGAAGCGCATCAGCTCTCCTATGGATGGTATGAACTTCATTATCAGGCTTCTGAGCATCGGATATGTTTTCCTGTTCCTGGTGACTTGTGAAAGCTGCAATGTCACAACCAGGATCATCAAAACCAATACGTTACTACCTGCGTTTTTCTTAATATGCCTATGCGAGACTGAAATCAATAACATATAAATGATGCTAACATCTAGAAGTGCTTCTCCATGAAACTAATGACATCCATCACGATTCTTGTTCAGAGCATAACAAGTTAAGCAAGCAAAACACACATTTGAAACTACGTGGATATAGCACTTAAATCGGTAATCTTTGCGTAAAGTGGCGTAAGGTAAGCCTTAAGAAACATAACAAAAGATCATTCACAATCAGTGGGTTCCTCCACCACTCCTAAGAGATTTGACAAATGTATCATCAAATCATTTATCTCACAAGCCACACTAGGCCAATGAAAAGTTCATAATCACATAATGTTCCAGTAAGAAACCTTCTAAAACCTCTTAATGCAGAAACTACCCTCGTTAGAGTAAATGAAAAAGTTTCAATGGACAAGACTGCATTCAGTTGTATAAACTCTCAAAAATGACTTTGTGTACAAAACCCAAACAAGTCATAAGACCAAACACATCTCATCAAAATCGTATTAATTCAAACTCTCCCTTTGATATTTGATCCCACTGCGAAATAAAGTCTTAGACTTTAGAAAAACTGAGGCACAGAGAATTTATAACAGCGTAAGAAACTCGAACTCCAATTAAGTATTACGGCAATTTTTCACCTCCAAACTTTGTGGCACAGAACAACATATGGGCGTTCCAAACACTTGACCGTACTTGAACCGCACCAAGAAAGAATTTTTTAGATTGGCTAAGAAAAAATCAAGGAGCCAAGTGGCTTGAGCACAAGTAGAGAAGAGCAAAATCTGGATTAAGCTGCTTCATTGCTCATCAACTACTTCAACTAAATGACACACATTTTAGCTACTGTGTGTCTCCTTTTCTTTAAAAATTTACTTATCGACGACCCTAAACCCTATTTAAAAACGTCCACTGGTCCAAGCCAGATTCTACCACATCATACTTTGTGTACATGAATTCCAATTTATATTAACTAGCCAAAACGCATAAAATATGATCAAAGAAGCCAATTTGATTAGTCCGGAAATTCGATTGAAACAATCTTTCAGAAGAACGCTCAAATTAATGGCATGACTTAGGAACTCATCACAGACGGCGCGAAATAGCAAGATGCAATTGCAAACACACACACACAAACAATAACGGCGAAATCGAAAATTGGGTACGAGCAATTCAAGGATGATCATATTCAATAGAGAGAGAAAGAGCACCGGTTTCTCCATCAGTAAGTATCTGATCACGAGAAGGAATCGTGTCCGGTGAGGATTCGTGAGTGCGGAGATGAGATTGGGGAAGGGAAGAAGGTGGAGGAGGAGAACCGTTGATCTGACCTGTGATAAAGGCTAAACGATCAGATCCTCTTTCTAAGATCTTCCGCCTCCTTGCCTCTCTGCTGTTGGACGCCATTGCCACCGGAATTTTTGTTGGCCTCTCGTTAGTTAAACTCGTTGAATTTTACAAAGTACAGTATATATTTTTTTGGTCCCTATTTTTTTAACATCTACTTATATTATTAAATAATAAACGGAAAATACAAAAAGTTTACAAGCCAAAAAGGTGAAACATCTAATTAATAATATAAAAATTACATCAGTGGAATGAACCCGTTTTGCTAATTGATCTGCTGCTTCGCAAAAAACAACGTTGTGATAAAAAACGAAAAATGTTGTCCTAGAACAGGTTTAGTTTTGATATTGTTGCACTGCAATTGTATATTTAAAGATCTTCAACTACCAATTAAATAAAGTAGTATGAGTTTCTTAATTAGTCAAATCTGTTTCTTATGTAATGTAATGATCAAAATATTAAAGTTTGTTATTAGATTTTCTTATAATAAATATAGTTTTTTCATAACATATTGTATCATAAATTATTTATCTTCAAACAATAACATAATATGGTATCCATCCTCCTAGGTTTATCAGAAGCAAACAGAAAACATAACTAGAAAAAAAAACAACGCATCTACTATTAAAATTTGAAAGTGGAATGATAATAGAATGATTTAACAACATTTTCCTACAACATGAGACGAGACAAGTTTGACATACAAATTATAACAAAATGAAAATTAACTATGAGAAACACTGATAAAACAAAAGGTCTTCATTACCTCCATCAACATTTTCTCCTCTTCTGGTGTGTTCTTCTTGCCCCACGGTCAACATTAATTCTAATACTTTTATTATTGGAAATGATTAAAATTTGAAAATTTTGATAATTTGAGGTTACATTGCAAATTGTTGGAGCCATAACACCTCTAATTTACTCATTTGGTTAAAAATGCATTAACTTACTTTGTGTTATTTTTCACTTGTTTTTCATATAAGTCAATTTGTATTTCTAGAAACCACATCAGATTTGGCAAAATCAAAAAAAACTGCACAAAGTTTGTCCATAAAAATGGAGGAAGAACCAAGAAAAATGAGATATAAAATTTGATGGCAAGAATTTGTAAAGAATAACACATGTTTTTATTGATATAAAATTTGATGGCAATTTTTGTCTTTGGAGCAAAGATATGAATTCTCCTACTTGGTATTCTCTTGAGGACACAGGACCATCATCTCGAAAATGGCTTATGAGACTCGAACTGTCAACTTCTTTCACGACAGCAAGCCTACATTCAAGAGTTTTCATGATGACTGATTTCAACTATCTGATAATAGGGATTCAAACAATAACTGTTGGACTTAGACAACACCAATAACATTCCCACACAATAAATGTAGCACATTTGTTTGTTCCGTCGAGGGATATATCTATGTAGTCTCCGACAAACCTAATGCAGCAGAAAGGTACTCTGTCGAATCAGAGAAGTGGGAGAATCTACCCAGTTCACAGCAAACCAACATTCCATTTCTGGTAGGATCTTCGGATAAACACATTTTGTAGGTTTGGTATCCAAAAAACATCTGATGTTTAAAGACGTGTAGGAATACCGAAAAAACCGATTAATGCCATTTCTGGTTAGGGGTTATTCTCATACTCTTCCATAATTATTAGGTTGGTGGGCAAATTGCTGCTATGGTGGTTTGAAGATAACTGGTATGAGATGAAAGGTTTCTCAAGGTTTGACAGAAAACCTTTAAAATTGGTGGAATAGAGGAAAGAAGATTCAAAATTCTTGGAATTGTCAGTGTGAAGCATTAACAAATAGACTTAGCTGTAATGGAAATCTCTATGGACATTAAAAAAAAACATTGCAGTGTCGTTAGAGTTTAGAAATTTCAAAAGTGATTGATTGGTTTGGTTAATTCTTAAGCTCAAAAACCTCAACTTTAAGAGAATAAAATGTTGACTTAGTGATAAACCAGGAGAAATGTATTCTATACATTTGCACCAATCACAAACAAGAGAAAGACTAGTAACCAACTAAACAAGAGAGCGTTGCCTCCACGCGACCACTCCCTTGGTTTTAAAATTCAATCGCACACTGTTTTCTTAGAGACTAGCGACAGAGAGAGAGATGCAATCGCTGCAAGAGAAGGCATCGATATGGAGCGGCGTGGATCGAGCAGACGCGTTCGCCATCGACGACTCCAATCTGTTCGAAAAGCTCGGACTTCAGAGCTTCATCAACCTATCCACCAATTTCTACACCAGGTTTTCTTTTTCCCAATGCTTCTATGTGCCTGCTCTGGGTTATTGAAATTTTCACTTGCAAAGCTCTATCTTTTCGATGGATTGCGGAATCTGGTCGAAAGTCTAGTGTTTGCTTGTTCGAATAATAATAATGTTTGTTTTGAAAGTCCAGTGTCTGCTTGTTCGAATGAGAGAAATTAGGATACTTTTTGTCATGATTTTGACTTCGAAATGTTGATATTTGTGTATTCTGCTTTTGGAGGCTTACTACTAGCTGCTTTGACAAAGTCCTTGACTTTCTTCCCTAGAGAATCTTTTTACTGTTTTGCGGTGATGTTTTCAACTTATGGAAATTGTGTTATGGAGATAATTCTTGTTTGTTCTTAATTTGAAATGGAGAGTAGGGTGTATGATGACGAAGAAGAATGGTTTCGATCCATATTTTCTGATTCAAAGAAAGAAGATGCCATCCAGAACCAGTATGAGTTCTTCGTCCAGCGTATGGGAGGCCCTCCTTTGTATTCTCAAAGGAAAGGTTAGCTCTTTCTTAACATTTCTAGATTCTTCTCCCTTAGTATGTGTTCTTATATACAGATATGTGTGAATTTCTTCCTTCTTCTGCTGTTTGCATGATTGGTTCCATGTTTTATATGCTTGACTGAGAAACCGCACATTAATTCATTGTTTTATGTTCATTTTCTTACGCTTTGGTGAACCATATGCGACGCTTGTTTAGTACAGACATGTACCGCGCTTGTATATGTATGGTTGCATAACCATAGACATTGTAATACATATTTGCACCAATGTGAGGTGGGTTTGACTTGAGTATGACTTAGGCATCTCCCAAAACTCTTGCTTACTTTGTGGCTAGTGATCTTTCTGTGTAGGTCATCCTGCTTTGATTGGACGTCACCGTCCATTTCCAGTGACCCATGAAGCTGCAGAGAGATGGCTGCAGCACATGCAAAATGCTCTGGACGATTCACTTGACATTGACCAGGACTCAAAAATTAAAATGATGAATTTCTTCAGGTAACACATCATGCATCTTCTTTCTCATAGTCAATAGCCTGTAATTCAGGAACCAAATCGAAAACATAGTAAATTGAATGCATGAAAGTTTGATAAACCTTCGAATTTCTGCTATAACATTAGCGATCAAGTGTATTTAAGTTTGCTGCTTTTGATCTGTTTCAGGCATACCGCCTTCTTCCTTGTGGCTGGAAACGAGTTGAAGAATCAGAACCAGAATCAGAACAACCAGGTTGCGTGTAAACACGCTGCCAATAAACCAGCGGAAGAATAATTAACGACAGATTATTGTTTTATTTGACTTTCAAAGTACACAGATTTTAGGAAGACTTGGTCTTGGCTCTCATTACGTTTCTTAAGATGGTCTAACAGAGATTTTAGTATTGAAAATACTACATTACAAGTTCTACTTTCATATTAAATCACATCGATTATCTGATACATTAATAGAGAGATACTTCAAGTCAGATTTTCACATATCTAAGATAACAAAAATAATTACGAAAAGATCGATTAAGGTATTGGAAATGTGATCAAAGTACACTTTCTATATCTTTCAGGTTAACGAATTTTCACTAAATTTTTTAATTTATGTTGGTGCTCTGTTGAGACGGGACATGGAGCGCCCAACGGTATAAGAAAAACCCAAAAATTCATATATCCAAAAGGCAAAAACTTTCTAGTTCAAAATTCAAACTGAAAACGCGAATGTGAAATAAAAATCGAATTTTTCGGGACGAATATAATACACAATAGACAGACACACAGAAGGAAGGAAATCAAAATTCAAAGGCTACGGATTCTACTTCCACATCGGCCCTGCATTTTGGCGCTCCTCACTCCTTCGGCGCTTAAATCGCCGACTAGGGTTTTGTTTTCAGACCTCCGGTGGTTATTCTTCATCCTCCGGCCATGGACTCAGATTCTTCTAGGTCGCGGATTGATCAGGTCCGTTTCTCTTATTCTCTTTGATTTTTCTCCATGAAGCTGTAGACACTTGTCGATGTTTCACTTCTTCTTCCTCTCTTTCTCCTTTTCTTCGTGGGTAAATTCACGCTTGCTGCAACATCTTGGAGTTTCTCAAGACTTCGAAAACTTGTGTTTGAAATCTGACCTATATCGATGCAAATGGATAAACTTTGTAGAGTATTCGATTTATTGGATTGTTTGAGAAGACCTATAACTGAAATGAGCCACATTTTGGCTGAATCCCCTGATTTGAGTTTTCCACTAGGATATAGAAAGAGAGTCGACTTTATTTTTCATGAATAAAGTTTTAACTTTTTCAGAAAAGAATTGGTTTTGGATGCTTTTAAAAACTTTTTCCTTCAGTCAAACTGTGACAAATGAAATTAGTTATGATGGATGAGAAGTCGGCGAAAAGAGGGAATTTTGTGACATTGAAGCTAAACTGTGTTACTGGAGACTGATTTATTCTTATGTTGCGTGTCACTTTACTACTAGTTCTATGCTTCGAAGAAGAGGAAACACCTCTCACCTAATTTGAAGTCGGGGAGAAATGAGAAAAATGTGAAGGTGACAGGAGAAAGGTCTCCTGGAGACAAAGGTACTTTGGACAATTACTTAAAAGCCTCTCTGGATGACAAGAACACTGCCAATAGTGGGTTGCAGGCAAGGCAGGCAGCGTTTACAAAAAAATTGGATCTGGAGGTTTCTGGCCCTTCTGCTGGTGAAAGTATACACCCACGCCTGCCTAAACCTGTATGTGCTGAAACTTCTAGAGGTGTTGAAGGGTGTTTGAACCAGAGCGGATCTCAAGGTTTGCATAAGGAAGTTGTTGCTACAGCTGAAACTCATGCAACAGATGGTTTGCTCTGTGCTAACCAGAAAGATAATTCAGAACTAAGAGACTTTGCCACTGGTTTCTTGTCCTTGTATTGTAGGTAATGTGCGTTTGATTGTGTCGACTTTTTATTCTTACCATTATCATCAAGGAGTTAGTTGGTGAAACATCCATTCTTTTACTCTGTCTGAGTAGTCAATTGTTTTGAAATTTAGAGGAACTTGTAAATTGTGCTTGTGTGCTTTATGCAGTCAAGTGCAGTCTGTTGTCGGCTCACCTCCACATCATAATGCAAGCGAACTGAAGCGTCGAAGCAGTTCATCATTACTTGATCAAGATATATACATTTCTCACAAGAGGCGTTGTGATTCCGAAAATATACCATCACTAGATGAACTTGCATATCCTCTCGGGAGTAAGCCTCAGTCACTCGCTAGCATTGCTGATGAAAGAGATGCATCTATTTCAAACCCTACAAAGAAGGTATAACTGGAATCAAGTCATTTTTTATGTCTTCCCTGCTAAACCGATTCATTTTAAATTATTTTATGTCTCTGCTCTAATATATTCACAGTTTCCAAGAAATGAATCTGTTGAAATTCCAATGGGCTTGAGGAAGTGTACTAAGGAACCAGACTCATCAGCTCATCTAACCGAATGCCACACGCCTGGATCAGCCGTTAAATCATGTCCTGTTGGAACCCCTAAGTCAGGAAGTGGTAGCTCAATGTTCTCACCTGGCGATTCTTTCTGGAATGAAGCAATTCAAGTCGCTGATGGTTTGTTAATTCCAACTGAGAACTCTGCTTCCGTAGAAGCTAAAGATGGAGGTCAACATGGAATAATACTTTCATGCAGCAACAAAACAGATAGTTGCAGTGACAACTTAAAGAGAAGTTTAGATTTAGATGAAAGCAGAGTAAAGGATAAAGATGCCATTGGTTATTCAAAGGTCGCGGAGAAGCATGGTAGAGATTTTAACAAAGAAGCATCTCCGCTCCCTGTCAAGAATCTGGAACTTTTGTTTCAAGATAGAAAAACAAATGGAGGTACCCGAGTTGCTCCATTTGACCAAAATAACATTACACGAGGAAGCCGTAGGATCTCTGAATCTGCTTTTGCTGATAATAAAGGATGTGGAACTCTTGATATTGCTCAGGCCAATAAAAGTTTGATAGGGAGGATGTATCCAGAACCTGAAGGAAAGAAAGTTTTAGTGTGCGAGGAGAATCATAGTGTAAGATCTGTTTCTCCGATAAGCAACATGGGGAAACCAGCTGATTCTAGTGAATCTGAAGAAAGTCATACTCCTTCAAGTTCTCATCATAATAAAGATGGTTTAAGTCTTAGCACCTGGCTTCCCTCAGAAATTTGCAGCGTATACAATAAGAAAGGAATATCTAAACTCTATCCATGGCAGGTACGTAACTGTTAGTTGTTGTGTTTGTTGTTATTTGTCAACTTTTTCAAAAGTAACAGCTGATACTCCTAGAGATAGATAGATGTGTATTTGCTTCGCTCTGCAGTTTAGAAAGTGTAAGATCCGTTGAGTCGCCTGCAGCTAGTATTTGCCATCCAAAGATAATCTGCTCTTCATGCATTCTTCCTTCATGGCATTTATCATATCATTTATGCATTGGTTTTACATGCGATATAAGTTGGTTATCTTTTTTGTTTTATATGTTTCATGAGTTGCACAAAACTGACTGGCAATTTTATCCTCAACTTTATTCTTAGTTTTGGTATTTATATTTTCTAAACTTTCCGCTGCTTATTGAAGAGTGATTTTCTTCCACATCTATTCTTCTGATACACAACCATAACTTTTTAGGTCGGTATTACATCTGAACGAACTTCCTATTCTGTCATTTATGCATGTATGCGTCATGCGTGTATGCTATTACTTATGACATTATTCTCGCTCTTAATACAAATTGTTATAAAATTTTCTTAGGTCGAGTGCCTTCAGGTAGATGGTGTTTTGCAGAAAAGGAATCTGGTATATTGTGCTTCTACAAGGTATATTCATGGTTGGCGATGAATCTGCCAATTGAAAGTTTGCTTCTTTTCATACATTTTCTTCGGATCATCATAGCAGTATTACTAATATCACTAGCAGTCTTCTATCTGACAAGAATTCATGCTCATTCTCAAAACCATGCTGTTTCTGCAGTGCTGGTAAAAGTTTCGTTGCAGAAGTCTTGATGCTGCGGCGGGTCATAACAACTGGAAAAATGGCGTTGCTTGTGCTACCTTATGTATCCATTTGCGCTGAGAAGGTTTCTTTTGTTATTCTCTCCAAGCATCCTACAAATTTTATTATATTACTTTTCTGTTAGTTTAGTCGTATAACAATTGGATGCAGGCAGAACACCTTGAGGTCCTTCTTGAACCACTTGGGAAGCATGTTCGTAGTTACTATGGAAATCAGGGTGGTGGAACACTTCCTAAAGGCACTGCTGTGGCTGTCTGCACAATTGAGAAGGCAAACTCTTTGATAAATCGCTTGCTTGAAGAGGGTCGTTTGTCTGAACTTGGGATAATTGTTATAGATGAGCTACACATGGTATGGTTTTCACATATCTTGTCTGTGGATCTCGTATAAGTTTGTAACTGTCTGACATTATCTTTGTTTTCTTCGTACTCTTTTTTATTTTTGATCAAATTTTCTCCGTACTCTATTTTCGCAAATCCATTAAAAGGAGCCTATTGCTCATGGTATATACAGGTGGGAGACCAACATAGGGGTTATCTGTTGGAACTTATGCTGACGAAACTTCGTTATGCTGCCGGTGAAGGCAGTTCAGAGTCTAGTAGTGGTGAGAGTTCAGGGAATAGCAGTGGCAAGACTGATCCTGCTCATGGCCTACAAATTGTGGGTATGAGTGCTACAATGCCTAATGTTGGAGCAGTTGCTGACTGGCTTCAAGTAAGACAAACAGAATCACTAACTTATATATATATATTAACATAAATATTTTTTTTTGGCTCTCTCTCAGTTGCATGACACTTCTCTATAGAAATATTGGTATTCGTAGATAAATGCGCAGACCTGCATGTCTGTGGGAATTATAAGAATATGATATATTGATATTTATGAAATTGCATAGAAATACTCTCGTGATTGTTAATAAATATTACGTTTTTCTGTAAAATGAAAACCTGTATATTTCCAGATCCCTGATTTCCGGAGGTATTGTTGTCTCCTTTATTGAAATTCTGTAAATTTATTGTGGCCTTTTTAATCAGAAAACTTATTGTTTTTTTTTTTACATGTTGAAAGGCAGCTTTATATCAGACAGAGTTTCGACCAGTTCCGCTAGAGGAGTATATTAAAGTTGGTAACACCATTTATAATAAAAAGATGGAAGTGGTGAGGACTATACCAAAAGCTGCTAATATGGGAGGAAAAGACCCAGACCATATCATTGAGCTTTGTAACGAGGTAATGTAGTTAAGGTCCTCATTAAGTACTTGCATTTTCTTTTTCTTTAAGTTTCTAATTTAAAAATGTACTCAAATTTGGTTGAAGAAGGAAAACTCAGATGTCGTATAACAATCCAGGTAGTTCAAGAGGGCAATTCAGTGCTGATATTTTGCTCGAG